ACAAACTTTATCTATAAACGTTTTGTTGGGTATTTGATGTTACACAAACTTTATCTATAAACGTTTTATTGGGTATTTGATGTTACTCAAACTTTCTATATAAAAGTTTTGTTGGGTATTTGATGTTACTCAAACTTTATCTGTAAAAGTTTTGTTGGGTATTTGATGTTACACAAACTTTATCTATAAACGTTTTATTGGGTATTTGATGTTACTCAAACTTTCTATATAAAAGTTTTGTTGGGTATTTGATGTTACTCGAACTTTCTATATAAAAGTTTGTTGGGTATTTGATGTTACTCAAACTTTATCTATAAACGTTTTGTTTGTATTTGATGTTACTCAAACTTTATCTATAAACGTTTTGTTGGATATTTGATGTTACTCAAACACCATCTATAAAAGTTTTGTTGGGTATTTGATGTTACTCAAACACCATCTATAAAATTTTGTTGTTATGAAAATTACAACTATTTTCTTCTCTTTAAAATCGATATTGAATATTATGATTCTATTAAACATCCACGGGTCTGTTCTAACATCTTTATTACGTAAAATAAACGGTTAGCAAGAAACTTCTAAAGTATATATTAATAATGATAGAATAAAGTGAAAGTTATTCCTCTAAGTGATCCATATATAAAGTTGTGACAAGTGTAACATTAAAACAATAATTCAAACGTTAAAATGCAATAAGCCTACTCTTTGGTCTTCATATTTTTTTCTTATGAGAACTTAGAATATAATAAGATAAAAATTAGCATGAGGTTTTGTACATTAGTCCAAAAATAAGGTTCATTGTCAAATCCCCTAAGTATGAAAGAAAAATATTATTTATTGATAAAACAAAGTAAAAGTTTTAAAGCTGAAAAAAGTAAAAAACATTCCGCCATATTGTTATCAGGTGTAATTCGTGGAAAGGAATACACAGATTAAATAATGAAAAAAATACCAGTTCAACTAGATCAAGTATAAAAGGAGCAGGTAGAAGAGGAATCTAATACTTACTCTATACCAGTACATTTTTAATGTATAGTTTTCGCTTCTTTACTAAAAAGAACTTCATTAATTTCAAGCCGGTTGAATACTGTTTTCTCTATCTGTAGTGTTAACCTTCGATGAATCGAGATAATGATTATGATCGAAGATATGTTTAAAAAGATGAGAGAATATTTTAAGTGTTCTTTGTGTTGTGTTTAAGTGTTCTTTGTGTTGTGTTTATTTGATACAGAGATCCCGACGTGACTCTGGCAAGAAGGGTTTTAGAAAGAAGCTAAATAATGTTACACCTCGTTAAAAAATATACCGGAATTTAGATTTATTTCACAATCACTAACTAAAGTCAATTTATATGAGAAAGTTTATGAACTAAACGTTTGTGATTAAAAGCTACATTTACTCAACTGTCAACAACATTGCAGTTAACAAGTATGTTTTATTGACATTTTAGAAAGTATGTTGTCTGTCTTTATTGGTCTGCGATGACGTTGACGACGATTGGAGATTCCAGTCCTCCAGAAACTGATTTGGTAAGTTATACAAGCGTAATTTCTTAAGTAAAGTTTCTTTACGTATTTTAAAGCGTAACGCACAGTACTTTGTTCTTAGGTCTCAAATACTTAAAATTAAACTTCACAAATAAGACTTAGTTGGAATTATTAAACAAGTATTCTTGGTTACATAGACATGTATTTTGTTTTTAAGCCATGGTTTCTTAGGATTAAATTGGATAAATGGACAGAGATGGACTTATTAATCCGATTTTTTGGTTGTACAGAGCTACGCTTTACTTTTAGATCTCAGATACCTGGAATTAAAATTGAAAAGTGGTTAGATTTGGCCATTTTCTGAGCCGAGATTCTTGGTAACGTTAAATAGGACTTTGCTTGTAAGTTTCATTTAGGAACAATTGGACTTAAATAAGAAAGCTCAATTAATAAAATCAGATAATACAATAAACTCGGCTATCCACAACCGAACTAAGCTACAAGCCTCCCCCCCCCCAGTGGCACAGCGGTATATCTCCGGACTTGCAACGCTAGAAACCGGGGTTCGATACCCGTGGTGGGCAGAGCACAGATAACCCATTGTGTAGCTTTGTGCTTAACTTCAAACAGACAAAGTAAGCTACAACCATAATAAATTAAAGTTAAGACCTAACTATTTTCACAACTACTCCTAAATTAACATCTCATCACCATCATCTTACATAAATTCTTATAAATAGAGGGTTTTTTTCAGCGATTTCATTATTGCCCAGTGAGCCTGTTCTGCCTTTGAAATCTTGAATACAAAATCTACAGCATCAAAACTATGCGAATTTGTTGTAAGTATTGAAGGAAATACATTGAGAAATATTTACTATGCTTTAAAATCGGTTTAATAAACACTCATTATAAATTTAAGGCAGTTCCTGTTCGTGTTTTCGAGATCCATTTTATATTTCTTGTTTAAGATTAAGAAGAAATAATAATACAAAGCTGATTTTTTGTTTTGGTTACAGGAATACGTTTTCACAGGTCTTACCTTCCTAATCGGAGTTTTTGTATTTGCCACGGTAGTAGGAAACGTTGGTGACGTCATCTCGAACATGAACGCCACTCGGCAAGACTTTCAAGCCAAGTGAGATGATCGCATTTGTATGAAAAGTACAAATGTATTCTTTGTTTCTGTACTTTAAGTATAATTAAGGAAAAAGAAGACATAATTATTTAAATATATTCCAGAGTCTAAAAAAAAAGTGTAATTCAACGATAGATGTGTCCTAGCAACTATACAATAATAATTACAAAATTTCGAACTCCAAGAAGATCACGACTATTAGAATAGCTATTGTTGTTGAAGAAAACCACTATTGTTTCAAGTAACGCTTTAACAACTGCAATGCTTACTCTATGTCTTCTGGTAGTATCTGAATAAGAAGCCAGCTATTAAGATTTTAAGTTGTTTTTCTGAAATCCCACGAACCGGTGGGTGTGTCGAACCGATGGTCGATAAACACTGAATTAATATTTCTTGTTGAAATTCATAAAATGAAATTTCCATTTTCTTCCTATTTCAGCCGATAAATTTAAAACAAAATTTAAAAAAGAAAATCACTACCAACGAGTAACTTACTATACTGTTCTCATTCATATTAGATTAACTTAGTGCAAAAAAGTATTAATAAGTACTATAACAACTTAGAAAAAATGAGCCCTCCGGTGGCTCAGCAATCAGTCAGAAGATTTATAATGCTAAAAACCTAGTTTCGATACACGTGGTGAGCACAACACAGATAGCCCACTGTGTAGCTTTGTGCTTAACATTAAAAGAAGCAAACAATAAAAAAATGGGTAGTTTATATGTTTTTGCATAAATATTTTACTTGTTTTATTTTGCAAATCAGTTAGACCTTTTTATATTGAACAGAAAAAGCTCAAATGTTTTAGAATGGTAACAGAAACAACACATATACACTGACCACAAGAATTTTGAATGATAATAGAAACAACAATGTTACTACTAACTAACACCAGGTCGCACCATAACATGTCAAGTTATGATGTGAAATTGTGAAGATAATATAGATAAAATCTAGCGCACACATACACCACTGAAAGGTGTTCTCCAAAACCAAACAAAATATTAGTTTAGAGCTGTTAATAGATCTTTAAATCTGTTTTGGTTTACAGACACTTACCATTTTTGATATCACTGTAAAACATCAATGGATTAACATAATGATTACGTGAATATATATATATACGTTTATAGGTACTTCTAGTAGCAACGCTAGGTACGCTTTGAAGTTATTTCAGAACGAAATATTGTAGATGTTTGGGGATAAAAAAAAATCCACAATAAATATTGTTACCCAATCCTACAGTAGATATAAAGCTGTTTTGGATAATAAGAACTTTGGCTGGGCTACTACTGCTTGTTTTTAGTTTCAAGTTGGTAAGTATATAAATTCAAATAACTGTTTGAACCATCACGAAGAACAAAAGTAATAAAATTTGAAATATCAAAAGGATCGTTTAGGTTACAAATTTTTGGATCCATGAATTACTAGGAAAATAAAGATAACTATATATGCTCTTTGCTTCTGTAAAACATTGCTCTCGCTCTTCAGTAAAAAAAAAAAATTAAAAGCATGTATAATATAGGCATGAATATTCCACGACTAGCTTTAACCAATGAAGTTTTGATAATATTTCTATTCGATAAAGGGCAGATAAGACGTATAACCATTTGTGTAATGATATAATTCAGTAGCGACACTTGTTATGATATTGCCTAGTAGTTATGGCTCTCAATTCGCAATATGCGAGTCTCGGGATCAAAACCCCGGCGCCGAACATATGCATTTTTTCAGCCGTGAATGTATTATAATGTGACAGTCAACCCTTCTTTCGTCGGTAAAATAGTAGCCCAAAAGTTGGCGATGGGTGCTTCCGACTGATTTACCTTCCCTCTGGTCGGCAGTTCAAAATTGTGGTTGGCAGCCTTAGTAGCTTTATCATAAACAAACAAACAGATCTCTCTTTTAATTTTTAATTTTTTTACTTTTCCAGGATGGACCAGATCAAGATGTATCTTACGCACAGGAAAGTCCCTGCTTACCTGCAAATTAAGGTGAAGAAATGGGCGGAGTATTCATGGTCTAGGTATGTGATTAAATAGTTCTTTCGCAGTGGTTAGCCCTAATATCTAATATTTCTGCTATTACATATTACCTTATTATTCCGGACGCCACCTAAAATCTGGTCAGGATACTAATTAATCATTATGTTCTCCCGCAAAAATTTACATAATGAGCCAAGTTACTCAATAACAACAGTTATTTCATTTTAACTAATGTAGATATGCCTACAACATACAAGTTGTTAGTTATTAACCGATGGTAAATGGTGGGTGCATGTTGTCCCTGTGGTAAACCTCTGGATTTCTGAGCTCGCGAAATGGGTTCGAATCTGTACGATACCACAAAATATTCCCCACACTTTAAGTTGTGCGTTAGAAGAGGGACAGCCAATCCTTAGCGTGCATGGTGATAAGCAGTTAGAAATAAGAGATGGCAACAGATAACCTTATTTGTTTTGCCATAAATATGAAACACAAGTGCAAATATCGACGTACAAGTTCTCACAACAAAATAATAATAACTTGTTATAGCTATTTAAGTCTTACAACGCGAACACTAAAGACTGGTTCAGATCTTTACTGGTTATACTTTATAATATAATCATTGTTGGTTAATCTCAGTTGCTAGTTATTAGACGATTACTATAAAGGAACAAAAAATTCACCTTCTGCAGGTGATTCTTTGTAAACTAATGGATAAGTTCTTACAACATACACAAAACGTAAAATACCCTAGTTGTTACCAATAACTGATGGTTACATCCTTACAACGATAGACTTCAGATTGTTACTTATTAACAGATTATCTATATTATATCTGTACACTCCAACTGATGGTTATATTCTTACAACGATAGACTTCAGATTGTTACTTATTAACAGGTTATCTTTATCATATCTGTACACCCCAACTGATGGTTATATTCTTACAACGATAGACTTCAGATTGTTACTTATTAACAGGTTATCTATATTATATCTGTAGACCCCAACTGATGGTTATATTCTTACAACGATAGACTTCAGATTGTTACTTATTAACAGGTTATCTTTATCATATCTGTACACCCCAACTGATGGTTATATTCTTACAACGATAGACTTCAGACTGTTACTTATTAAGAGGTTATCTTTACTATAATGTACACCACAACTGATGTATATTTTATCTTTTAGATGTATATGTGAACTGATTAATATTTTCTTGTGCATTTCAACACACAAGCCATAGACTGGTCCTAGTTTTATGTACCACGTGATCGATAAAGTTTATTACTAATTATTTTCCATGAATTGATGTATTTGTTCAGGACTCAAGCTACGGATGAATCAAGGCTACTCCACATGCTACCAGAAAGTCTGAGAGCGGAGATTGCAGTACACGTGCACTTGGATACATTAAAAAAGGTAATGATGTCAATATTTTGGAACTACATTGTATATTTGTACAAATACTTGTTAATAATCATCTTCTTTTTACCCTGATGTTTCAGTAGTAAATAATATAATAGCTGTAAAACCGAACCACTGACTGAACATGGGAGTTTTAATGTTACTAATAATGGCAAAATTTTCTAGTTTTATATGTTTGGTATTTAGATGTGTGATAATGTAGTGTTAAATATCATTGTGCTTTAATAAGTATGATAATCTAGTATTTAGTACTATTGTACATTAGTAAGTATGGTAGCCTAGTATTTATTGTTATAGTGCATTATCAAGTATGGTAGCCTAGTATTTATTGTTATGGTGCATTATCAAGTATGTTAGCCTAGTATTTATTGTTATAGTGCATTATCAAGTATGATGCTCTAGTATTTATTGTTATGGTGCATTATCAAGTATGGTAGCCTAGTATTTATTGTTATAGTGCATTATCAAGTATGATGCTCTAGTATTGAGTACCACTGTGTATTATTAAGTCATACAGTGCAGTCTAGTAAAGAACTGAAAATGTAGAGTAAATCACGTGTGTGTGTTAGTAGGGTGAAAAAAAAAACGAGACAAACCCCAAGTTAAAGTATAATCAAGAAACAAATTGTATTTACTTGGTAATTACTACTGAACATTCTTACTTGTTTTTAACATCCACATGTTGAAAACTAATAACAAAGTAAAATAAAGTTTAATTAATCTGCCACCCTAGCTTAATTCCACCAATACTGGGTTAGCTGAAGTGATGGTTCAGTGGCGGGAAACTGCCTAAGCTTATATTACTCTCCTAAACACTATTCGATTTTAGAATTTATACGGCGTCGAACTTATCTTTAGATACAATTAACAAGAAAAACTAATCATTTCCATCAACCCTAAACATGAAGGATTTACAAAAGAAATGAAGAGCGGTACCGAAAATAAACGCAATAGTGGAAAACAAACTTAACGAACGTTGTCAAGATGAATGAGGATTTTGAAATTAAGGATGACAAATGTATAAGAAAAAAAAACGACAAAAGGTCAATGTATAGATTCCCAAGTTAAGAACGGGTATTTTCTCATATTAAGAGCGGGTATTTTCCCAAGTTAAGAGCGGGTATTTTCCCAAGTTAAAAGCGGGTATTTTCCAAAGTTAAGAACGGGTATTTTCC